TTTTTTTTTTTTTTTTTTTTTTTGAGTTAACGGGTAGTTGGGTTTATGATATCAGAGAAAGGAGTAAGTTTTGGAACAAAGAGTTGTGAGAATTTTAGGTTTAATTTGAGTATATGTATATAGAAAGAGGTATGTATATATATTTTTATTATTACTCCTTTTTTTTTTTTTAATGGACTATATACCGTAATGTGTCTTTCCTAATTAACTTTAATGCATCTGTGTACTCGAGTATAAATGTGAGTGAATATGAATGTACATATGATTATGATGCAATAACCTTTAATTTTACGTTGACTTGGTACGTGTCCGAAATATTTTGGAATCGGAAATTTTAATCTTTCATTCAATACTAGTTTTATTTTTCTTACTTATTAATATCAATGTTTTTTTTTTTTTTTTTTTTTTCGGGAGAAAAGTACTACCCTAATGTTTTGCTCAAATCTTTCTTAAAAAGGAATGAGATATGTGGTAATCAGAGCGCGAGTGATGATATATGTGTGTATTTGCATTGAGGGAAATCGTAATGAGTGGAACTAAATATCTCGAGTGTAGGAGTTCTAGCGTGAGCGTGAACAGTAGTTACAAGTAGTTTTTGGTTATTTGGTTTTGTGTAGGTATATATATACATATGTCTATACATTTATGATTTGGAATTAAGTTCTGGTTTGTATGGATGTGCATATACATACATATGTATATACATATAACTTAGTACCTGTACTTATATGCGAGATTCCGGCTTTTTTTTTTTTTTTTAACGTGAAATATAATTATAAAGAATTATACTACAAATGTGGAATTTAAAAGCCAAGTGTGACTTAAATTGAAGTCGATTAAATATCGTTCATTTAAACAATTGCGCTATTGTAATTACTAGGATTGGTTTATGTGTTTGCAGGGTATATATATAGATTGAGTGTAACAAAGATTGAGTGGGACATATGTAAGTGTATAGATGTGTATGTAGGAGTATATTTATACACGTACCTGTATTTACGGAAGATTGAGCAGAGAGCTAATTTACATATGTATATATAATGCACTTGTAATCTATGTATGTACATATGTACATGTGTGTATTTATGTACTCTTTTGTTATAGCGAATTTTGTAGCGACTGATTTGGTTTGCTTTTTATTTAATATAAAAAATAAGCACTGCTATTTCTTTCTTTTCATGTGCAAATTTCCGCCAATTTTATGGGATATATGTATGTATTTTTAGTACCAAATTTCGCGCAAATTCGCCAATACAGTTTTTGTCTCTCCTTTACGGTGTTACATATATACATATGTATATATGTACATACATATGTATATGGAATTAACTGATTCCAATTTATATGCAAAAAGGGCGGGAATTTTTGCGAAAGGTTTCTACAAAGTTCCCTGTAACTGGGTAGAAAATTTGGAACGCTACTTACTGTGCCATTTTCTTTACAGTTACCAAATATTTTATTTTCCGAGTAAGTGTTTGGGCAGAGTCTTCTCCTTGGGAATGTGTTTGCTCTAAGCTGGCTGCAAAGTTCCTGAAGCTCCACTTCCACGTACTCCGGGGTTCACGTCTTCTCTCTTCTAGTCCGCTTCTTTTTAGTTTTGGGTTTTTGATTCTTTGGTTCTAGAATCTTTTAATAAATTTTATTTTTACTTATATTCGCGTTTTCGTCTGTAATATTTGTTCAAATTTTAATAATACTTTTGTATTTGAGTTAAAGCGTTTTCCCTTAAGTGGTAATTTTCAGTTTATCACATGAACATGTGTTTTTCACTTCGTTTTGGAGATTTTTTTATTTTTTTATATGTTTTTATAAATTCACAAGTGTCTTCCACAATTTAAAAGTTCTTCTTTTACACAATTTTTTTTTTTCAGTTCGATTGTCTTGATTTTTGTACGTAATTTCATGTAATAACCGCGTTTTTATTTAGTTTCTTCGACTGGCTCGTTATGTACGATAACATCGCTTTTACTTTTATGCCGATTCTTTTTTTTTACTTGACGGCGTAAGGACCATGTTTAATATAGCGCCGC